AGAGCATGATTTTTATTACAAACGGGTGCCGCTTTTTGGATTTCACCTTCCTAAACCTACTTGTAGTCTCGTACCCACCCCGGCCCATACTTGCAGGAAGCTACCCAACAATACGAAGCATAAAAGCAGACGGGTTGGGGACGAGCCTATCCTAAACCTACGTTTATCGACATCGAGGTTCCTCGAGAGGTCAATTAGGTGACCTACATATTGTAGAGCAGGCACCTCCAGGACACTCTCAAAACCTCGTGGACCACACATTGTAAGTCCCGGTAATGGATTTGAAATTCCATATAGCTAGAACAATTAGGGTAATCCGCACAAAATCTGCAGCTGAAACGAGAGAACTGATTTGCGCGTGCCATGTCTTAGAATACATATGTATCGATACATGACGGAGTAGACCATGTCGGTATCCATGTCAGTTTAACAGTTTATGGGATAACTACATGACTCCCCTTCTTCCTCCCCTTCTTTTTCATTTTTTTTTTCTTTCTAATTTTGATCTATCCTTTCTGAGGGACCCACTACACTATTCTCTAGTTCCATGGCAAAATACTGGAATCTGATTAGGGGCTTGAAGAACTTGCGGTACTCCTCGAAGGATTTCAGTGGGTTGAAATATCATCTACAGCGCGACCTGCTTCCTTACCTTCCCTACAGCACTCGACATTTCTTCTATAAGTCAGAGCACATCTAAACTAGGCCACCGGTTACCTCTAGATACACATCTATCAAGTTTCGTCCGACCGTGTACTGGCAAAACATGTTTTTTGTCATGTCGTTCTTAACAGTGCCCGTCACAGAATTCAACAATACTGCCCTAATCGAAGCAGGGAAGCCGTCGGTTCAGCGAGACCCCTAGGCCGGTCGCGAGTATGGCAGGTGTGCATTCCCTTAATCCACGCAATCCCTCACTGTTAAATATATTACATGAACCTGCATCATACACCCCCTCTGCAGTTGATATACCCACTCGTGTTTCAACACGTGCACGCCTATGTAGTATCTAGCTGACATCCCCGTAGATGGACATTGATAGATTCGATTCTTCACCACTACTCTTCGATTTACACTATGCCTATGCACATGAGTGCTCAAACTTTGCCAGGTCTATTGGATGAATATCCCTCTCTCTAGACTGACCAGCGAGCCGTTGAGCCAGAATCTAGCAGCCACTCTAGCAATCTCGGCCTGTCCAACGCTATAAACTAGAATCGCATCGAATCGACGACTCCGCTGGTTTGACTGGAGTAGTGTCACCATTTACAAGGAGGGTCCTATAAGTTAACAAGGTACAGGCTAGTGGGGATACGAGTCTAAAGTCCGGACTAAACTGGGAATTAGTTGAGTGATTGATTGGTTGTTAAACTAGGCAAGCGCCAAAGTCCCTTCGGCCCCCCCCGGAAGCCTATTTTTGTTGCCAACACGATAATCAAAGGATGTTTTTTGCGCTGATATTATACATAACTGCTTCATACCAGAATCGGAGGGAACTCGACTAGGAAACTCGCGATGGAAGATGCACCAACCTGGATACATACGTATCATTCGGTACACCAGACACAATCCCAGTAATTAATGAATTAAACCAAAAAAAAAAAAAAGGCACAAGTCCAGGCTCGGAGGAAAATACCGAGTGAGTGCATATGACTCACTCGATAGTTAATCGAGATTCGCTTTTTGCCTGCCGTTAACTATAAGTACATACAGTCTTCTCACACTCCTCCCTCTACTCCCTCTCTCTCTCTCTCTCTCTACCTCATCTCCTCACCCTCTTAAGAAATAAAGAAAAATAAAGAAAAATAAAAATAAATGTACCTACGTTAATATATACAATTTGAGTTATCTTTGATATTCTCTGGTCCTTCAATTCCATTCTTTGGCCGGCATATATGGCGTACAACTCTACAAATATACTAAGCCTGGGCTTTGCACCGGCCATGAATAGTTTCCGTCCGAATTTAATTCCATCTAGATCTAGAGTAGCTTGATGACCTATGTTCTATCCCCATTAATGCCTCCCCCCTAACCCGTGTCCCCGGCTAGCTAGTGGTCCGCAACGACGCTCGAGGTGAGGTTTCGAACTGTGCCTCGTCGACCATCCTTGGCCGGCAACCCCTGTACCTACATACAATTGTCCTTACCTGTCCTCGAGGTCTATATAATCCTAACAACTTTAATTGTTACGTGGTACTCGCGATTATATCAGCTTGAAGCTTGAGACATGACACTCCTATATTCATATTTACAGGCTCTGTATGCATAATGATATATATGGTTTTCCTAGATCGAGCTAGCTAGATTGGACACATGCTTAAGCTAGCTAGCTCATGTCTGGATTGTATTAGTGGTGGGCACGAGCTATAGCCAGACCTTTAGCGAGACGAGATCGATCGAGACGAGCGGCAAGACAAGATGAGATCGAGACGAGATGAGACAAGGCGAGATGAGACCAGGTCCGAAGATAGGTCCCGAGACTTTTTTGGCTTTAACAAATATAACTCTAGCTAGCCCGGCTTTCGATCATATATCATTTCAATACGTGATCTTTAACCATAAAACATGCGCACCTTTTTACTGAATTCGTTGCTCGGGCGACAAATCCGGAGCTCGGGACGGATTGTGGTCTATGAATGCATGGTATTGGTTATGCATGATTGCATGATTGTATAATTAAGAGGGGGGGTGAAAGCACTTAAGTATGTAGGTAAACCCTCCAGCCCCAGGAAGAGGGAAAGGAAAGAGAACTTTGACATTTGCGATTGGTTTGTTTGCGTTGATTAGCATAATTGCAGCACCCCCGCCCCGCGCGCGCGGTCACCGTGGCGGAGAGTCTCGAGACTTTAATGTTAGGCTGGTCTGGGTCGGAAGGAAGGAAGGAAGGAAAGAGAAAACAAGATCTAACGAGAGACAAGACAAGACAAAACCAGCCCCAAAGCTACCCCAAGTCCAAAACCTTTTTTTGCAATATTTTCTTTTTCGATTCCTTCACCTATAGCTAAGTACCGCCATAACTCGAAAAATTGGCTAGCTTCCAGAGATCAAAATTACTTGTATGGGAAACTTCTGATGCAGATCGATGCCATTCAACCAATCACTCGAGTGATAATCCCTGGCCGGAGATAGCCAATTTTTCGAGTTTTGGCGGTAGTTATAAGTACTAGCTAGGTAAGTAAACCCTCCAGCCCCCAGCTTAAAAATAAAATGAAGATCAGAAAAATAGATTATCCCTTCGTCTGGCAAAAAATGCTGCCCACCCCCCCCCCCCCCCCAAAAGCAAATTTTATATGTGGCTTTACTAACAGATCTCGTTATCTCTCTTATCAAAATAATAAAGATCTCACATACAAATCTAATTGCTGTGTTATAGGGTGGGCAGCATTGCCAGACGAAGGGATAAAGAAAACATTAATCCCTTTAACTTATCTACATTAATAATTAGCATAACCGGAGCTCCCCCCCCCCCCCCCCCTCTCCCCCTCCCCGCGCGCGGAGGGTCACCATATATGTACAGCTTGCGGTAAGATTATTGTAGAAATATGGGAGGAGTCCTATTGGCTTGCCCAGTCACAGAAACCCTGTTTTTAGACCCCTGTTTCTACTTGTTTACCACGAAAAGAACCAGAAAATGCAGTTGCTCAGGGCAAGGATTATTTGTATGGAGTGGCGGTGATCTCTCATACAAACTATCCCTGTTTCCGTCACTTGCATTTTCTGGTTCTTTTCGTGGTAAACGAGTACAATAATTTTACCTCTCGCTGTATGTGTATATATATGCATGCATGCATGGCGGATCTGGGTGCTGGGTCTCGAGACCGAGACTTTAACCCCAAGCTTAAGACTGGTTGCTGGGTCGGAAGGAAAGAAGGAAAGAAAGAAAAAAACAAGATCGACGGGACGGGACGAGGCGAGGCGAGACTGGGCCTGGGCCGAGACGAGACCTCCCCGCCCCCCCCCCCCCCCCCAGTCTCGTCTCGTGCCTGTGTGTAACTATGCTGTGTATAACTACATATGTACATGTATAGGTGGTTCGGATCCTCGATAAACGGCTTCAACGGCTTCAACGGCTTTGGAGGCTTTGGAGGCTTTGGAGGCCTCGTAGAGCGAGGTAAGGGGTCGAGAATGCTCGTGGAGTTCTTGTGAACTGGGCCGTGCTGGATATATGTACATATACGGTGTCCCGTTTCCGCTAGTTTTCTGTTCTTCTCCGCTTGGTGACTCGCGAGGGAGGGTCGGGAGTGATAATATACTGGATCCGGAGGGTACAGTGTGAGGTAGATATGTATCTATGTAATATGTCCTTGCGCCAATTATGATCCCGCCTGCTCCCCCGGGGGTTATTTATGGGTGTTACTTGATCATGAGGGTGGTTTCTGGAGAGAGTTATATATATGGGTTTTAGCTGTAGCATGCATATATCTCGGAAATTGATTGTTCTGTCCTATTCGATCGCCGCAGACTCTACCTATTTGTTGCATGTTGCATCCCATTCGTGCATGCATGTAGTGGTCATCTATACGGCTCTGGAACGTACGGGCCGATCCAGCAGTCTATAGCAAACCCTAAGCTGCACGGAGGTGTTGACTCCCCGATTCTTCATGGTCGATGACACTGTGCTCTGTTCTCTATTCTCTATGCCTGTATGGTGTAATAAGATGTCCGTGAATGGGTAGTGCCTGCAAATGGGGCCGTTTCTTATTTTTTCCCAAGGCTAGATGAGGTCAGGAATGTTCTTCCGATTCTAGGTTGAAAATCACAAGTACATGTAGTTAGAAAAGACCATTCCCAAAGTGATATCATTACCCTTTAATTCGGATGGCTTGAACTGAGCACTCCCAAGACATTTTATTGACGCTCGACTAAAAGACAACCTGCAATCCCGCTATGAATCCTAATTACATGTAAACAAACATTACAGGGACCCCCGTATAATATCCCCCCGCCCGCCCCCAACCAGACCAACCTCCCGCACTACCTCCCTAAACTGCCTACAGCCCCTACCATAACCGCAACCTCAAACTCGCCCCTCCCCTCATCCCCCAACCCCTTCAACACACACCCCCTCACCCCCTCCCTCAGCTTCTCCCTCCCCGTCCTCAAGATCCTCGCATTCGTGCCCCCGCGCGCCACAACCTCCCGCACCCTCGGCTCCCACCCCGCCGCCACGCTCCGGAAAAACGACGTCGACAACGCCCCCGTGTCCAGCTCCGAAAGCACCTCCGCCGCAAGCCCAACCCCCGCCAGCATCTCCTCCACCGCAACAAGCGTCCGGCACCGCGCTGCAACCTCGACAAGCGTCCGATCGAGCATCGTCAGCGCCGTCAGCGCACGCGTCAGAAGCGCGATCGACGCCGTCACCTGCGTGTTTAGTAGTGCTTGGATTGTACCCGCGAGCCCGCTCCCGCCCTGGAGAAGCTGCAGCGTCTGCAGTGCTGCCGTCACCGCTGGTCGCTGCCCTTCTGCCACCACCGCGGGGTCGAGCGCGAATGCGGTGCCGCCTGCTGTCGCGGTGGGCAATAGTGAGAAGCTGCCGAGGGTCTCGCGGGAGCGCGCGACGAGCGCGGATTCGGCGGGGGTGACGATGAGGCGGTGGAGGTCTGTGGCGAGGTCGATGCCGTCCATTGAGGCTGCGTTTGCGGCGAGGAGCTTGCGCAGCTCGACGACGCTGTGGGCGGCGCGGATCATGGGCGTGGGGCTCTCTGCGAGCTGGATCTCGAGCTGGCGGGCGAGGACCAGGGCGCGGCCGAGTTCGCGGAGGAGGGAGGTGGTGGTGTGCAGGTTTGTGACGGTGGTGATGAGTTGTGTGGCAGGCTCGGAGCGCGTGAGGATTGATTGCGAGAGGCGGGTGTAGGCTGCGTTGAGGGCGGTGGTTTGGGCGGTGATGGCGGCGAGGAGGGAGGTGGAGGCGGTGTGGGAGCGGGAGGTGTAGGTGAGGAGGGGGAGGGACGAGGTGGTGGTGAGTGTGTGGATGTGGGTGTCGATTTCTTGTAGGTCGAAGAGGACGCGGGAGAGCGGGGTGGTGAGGTCGACGGTGGGGTCTGAGGGGTCGTTGGTGGATGTGATGAGCGTGGAGGCGAAGGCATGGGGGGAGAAGGACGGCGAGAGGAAGGTCTCGTAGTCGATGTACGAGATCTCGGAGGCAGTGGCTGTCATGATGGGCGCTGGTCAATTGGGGGGTGAGTTTGTGAGTATTTGTGAAGCTGCAGAGAGTGGGTGAGTGTGGATGTGGATGTGTGAGTGTGAGTGTGAGAGTGAGTGAGGAGTGTGTGTGAGAGTGAGTGAGGAGTGTGTGAGTGAGAGTGAGCAGTCGTGAGTGAGTGAGCAGTGTGTGAGTGAGAGTGAGTGGGGAGTGTGTGAGGAGTTGTGAGTGTGTGAGCAGTCGCGAGGAGTTGTGAGTGTGAGAGTGAGCAGTCGTGAGGAGTTGTGAGTGTGTGAGCAGTCGTGAGGAGTTGTGAGTGTGAGAGTGAGTGAGGAGTGTGTGGGTGTGAGAGTGAGCAGTCGTGAGTGAGTGAGCAGTGTGTGAGCAGTCGTGAGTGTGTGAGCAGTCGTGAGGAGTTGTGAGTGTGAGAGTGAGTGAGGAGTGTGTGGGTGTGAGAGTGGGCAGTCGTGAGGAGTTGTGAGTGTGTGAGCAGTCGTGAGTGTGTGAGCAGTCGCGAGGAGTTGTGAGTGTGAGAGTGAGCAGTCGTGAGGAGTTGTGAGTGTGTGAGCAGTCGTGAGGAGTTGTGAGTGTGAGAGTGAGTGAGGAGTGTGTGGGTGTGAGAGTGAGCAGTCGTGAGTGAGTGAGCAGTGTGTGAGCAGTCGTGAGTGTGTGAGCAGTCGTGAGGAGTTGTGAGTGTGAGAGTGAGTGAGGAGTGTGTGGGTGTGAGAGTGGGCAGTCGTGAGGAGTTGTGAGTGTGTGAGCAGTCGTGAGTGTGTGAGCAGTCGTGAGCGAGTGAGCAGTCGTGAGCGAGCCCGAGTTGTTTCAGTGAGTGAGCAGTCGTGAAGCTGGAGCGTCGGGTGTCAATGATCAACGGTCGGGTGAGGGGAGAACGGAATTGGGTTGCGGCTTAAAATGCCAAGACGGAACATGTGGGGTAAACATCCCCCGCGCGCACGTGATCCCCAAACAGTATCGAGGAGCCATGAGTTCTGTATGTGCCTATCTAGACCTGTGCGTGGAGGATATACGCATCTAGCTGTGCGCATTAATGCAATATGGCTGAAAGGTACATGTAATAGGTAATAAGATGGATGCTTCTATTACGAAGGAGGATAAAAGCCTATCTACATGTATTTATACGTACATTTATACGTATAGAGTTGACACATCTAGCTGCTTATCTAGGCTAGGTAGCTAGGCTGTGGACACTAGCACCACCACAAAGACCACCTTACACCGAGACGCTGAGGAGATACATCTGAACAACGCGGTTAGGCGTTCAAATGTTCATATTATATGGCCAGCTAGCTCATGAGACGTCCAAATTTGCAAAGTAACGACAGTTAGCTAGCTATCCTCCCTTTAGCATCTACGTTTTTCTGTTCGGAAGGAAATATTCGCCCCTAGCGCGTATTCCGAGTGATAACACATGAAGATAATGCTTAAACACACCTCTCGTTTATGCGCGGGACATATGATGTACGTATCCACACCGGGATCCTTATTTATAATTTCTTTCTTTTTCTCTTATCCCTCTTCCCTCCTCATCAACTTATCTCATCTCTCGATATCCCTTAGACTTTCATCCATCACCGAATACCATGCTTGCTCCGATCTCGAGCCCACCACTGCATCGCCAACGTCACGTCACATGTGTCTTTTTTGCTTCGGAAAATGCAATGCCACCTACCACAAAGTATGGGGAATTTAGTGGCATCAGGAGAATATGCTACGAGCAATCAGGGCACTGGTGCACCGTTTATAGCGAGCCAACACTGGATAAACCCAGATTTTGTGTTATAGATTATCTGCCAAGGTCCGTCAAAGGTCTGGCCCCTTGTGTTTTATGCTACAAAAGTCCCCAAAAGATAATAATACCCCCCCCCCCCCCCCACGGACTTCGTGGCTTTAGCCATCAAATAGAAACGGCCAGCTACATGGTTAGGGTTAGGATTTTGTCATGATTCCTTTCTGTTGGAGGTTTGTTTAACCTTTCGCTTTCCAACTCTTGACGTTTGGAACTCCGGAGAAATGACATGGGCGTTCCTTGACAGATTAAAGCATAATTCTATGCTTCCCCAGTCGGAAGCATAGATAAGCCATAAACCAAACGTTCCAAAATGCGTCATCCAATCGGCCCTCGGATCTTCACAAGGCTCTTGCATACATCTCTGTGGTAGTCTCGGCGGGGAGAGAAGGTGTCAAAGCTTTTTGAAAAATAGTGTTTCCTAATCATGTCCCCCCTCCTTTCCTGCACACACCCGAAGGTTGCTGGTCCAACCGGGGATAGGTTACTCGCCTTTGCTGACACAAGTCCCTGGAAACTCTCCGGTGATCAAAAACGAAAAAGAGCTCAAGGTCCGACATTCCCTTTCGAGCTCCTCAGGTCGGGGTATCTGCACCCTCCCCAAGCAACTCTAAACGCTGAGGAAAACACACGCACCTCCAGCCTGTTGATGGGGGAATGGATTGGTCATGTACCCTTTAGAACTCAGGCTTGGGATGTCGCGGATAGCCAACGACAGCAAGGACGGCGGCGGCGGTAAAAAGTCGTACGTATCTCGCCATTATCAGATCCTCGAATCGTGCTCTCCAGCTGCGATATATATCTCCTTGGCTAGGACGCGTAACCATCATTGACATTGTCCTGGCGAAGGCGCACGCGTGGGTATCGACATCGACCATCCTGTGTTTTTTGCCTGGGGAGGTGAGCTTGTGGAGCTAGAAGCTTACATAGATTTGAAACAGGAGGGAAGCTTCCTTGCGACACTTCTACAACTTACGTGTGTCGTCCGTACTCCTCCGATAGGAGAAACCATCTGCCAAGGTCGATCTTCGCCAAGGTTTTGTTCCAAAACGGGCAAAAAAACCGTTTTCGTGCTGTTCCTCCGCACGAGTGACGAACCGTGCAGCGGCAATCCGCAGGAAGGATCAACAACATGCATGCACACAGCAGCACTTCTCGACATCGTGAAGTACAGGTTTTCCTTGGTGCGCGCCCCTTTGCTTCAGCGCAGCATGAAGTTTTACAACCAGGTTTTCCCCCACCACTCTTTGCTTATGAATCGAGGGATATCAAACCAAATGAATGTATGTAGTCGCCAGCACCCCTTGATTTAAACCTTCTCCAATTAGAAATGCAAAATGAAGATAACCGCCACATGATCGCCCCCCCGACCCTTTTTCTGGCAGCAGTGAGGTCGAAAGATCACCATCTAAAACTCTATTTCTTTTTTAATCATCCGAGATCAACAACGGCCAAGTCGATGATCATTACGTGTGATAGGAAGAGAATGACCACCCTGCTGAATGAGCTGTAACCTGGTTGCTGGGTGGGACTTGCGCAACACAGCGCGGTTACTGTATACCGGAAGGGAAATGACGGAAAACTTTTTTCAGAATTACGCCACTTGCCACGCTCTGGAGGTTTCTCCCTTGGAGTGAACGGTCGAAAACCTGGAGAATACGTCATGGAAAGTTGGTACTGGAAGTTTCAATGATATTTTTCCCTTGGCTGATGTGGAGAGAAACTATCCTACGTCGGCTTTCTGACATCCGTCTGGGCAGTTGTGGGTCCGAGTGACGTTTGGTGATTGATACTTGAATGGTAAAATCGGTAAACGAAAAGTCTCCAGATTACTAGCGGCAGACGCGAACTAATCACTTGTGTAATAAAGCACTAAGATTCTCACTGATCGGCGGAATTGGTTGTGGTGGTTTGTGGACGGTGTACATGTATGTACCTCTACGGCTGCGGTATGTATGCTTACCCCATCTCGTCAAACCTTACAATTGACACGAGTGACAGTGTATGACTTGAAACACCCGGATTAACTGTCCCCTAGACTCCCTGATGGGTTTACTAATATTTCTAATCTTTTTTTGGTCGTTTGATTGCGCTGGAGGCGGCGATCAAGTTTTTTCCGTGTCATCCATGGTTAGCATGTTCTTTGAGGTGTTCTAGCGTTCTAGCGTTGTTCTACGACGTCTTGCTTGCTGCTTGGAAGAGTGGGAAAAGAGCTTCCATCAAACACGACAGGTAGCTCCACTTGAGGAGGAAAAAAAAAATATCGGAGCGCACCGGGAGGAAGAATTGAGCGGAGATACTCGGGTCGATCGATCCGTAAAGTCGTGGAAGTGTCGAGTAAGAACGCAAAGTTCGTGATCGTGCCCACGCCCCTCCAACATGTGCAACATCTCGGTACGGTAGGAGTGACAAAAAACAAGGTTCTGTATGGTTAGATTGCGCTGATGGCCTGAGGTCCGAAAGGTTTTTCTTTTCTTTTCTTAACCCCAAGAGGATGTCGCTAATCGCCAGGGATACAGGATAACTTGTGGTGTTCAATTTTCTGTCGCAACAATTGACGCGCATACCCTAACATTTTTGGGTTAGGGGTGCATGGGGGCTGTCTCTTCGCTCCTGGTACTTCTGGTGGCGCTTTGGCGGTGGGGGGGGGGGGGGTGGGTTATGTAACGGGTTGCTTTTTTTACCAGGCGAGCATGGCGGAAACTAGTGGCGGCGTTTTAAACTCACCGCACAGTTTGTTGTGTGCGACGTAAGAAGACGACGAGGGACACACGTGTAGGATGCGGTCGATTCGACTGGTCGATGGGGACTTCATCAATGTTTTCTTTTGGGTTTGGCGTCGACTAGGATTCATGCTCATTAACTTTGGAGTAGGCGAGTTCCCTTCCTCTCTCCTCGCCGCCAGCTTCAGACCGAGGCATCCCTAATGGATTGAATAGATTGCCCGCGAAACAATCAATGCCTGGGAAGGTGGACTCGGAAAGATATGCGCTCGATCAGACGACAATTGAGCGTCGCAAGATTGGACGGATGAGGCTCAGCAGATCTGGGAGGATGTAAGGTAAGATACATTATGTATGCAGCAGGTCGTAGGTTGAAATTTGCAAATGCGAAAATAAGGACCTGGAACTTCCGCCGTTACCGAAAGAGCCCTTGGCCCTTCCGCTCATAATTATTTATGATTTGATTAGTTTTTATGAGGTAGGTATCGAGGGTCCACCATGTCTAGGATGCGTTCTCGTCCAATGGAGAACCGGTTTTGAAAAGAGCAGAAGAGTAGGTAAAAAGCCTCCGGAACCACGGCTTTGGGACCTGGTATGTGTGTGAAAAGGCCTGGATCGATCTGGTTGCAATTGGCAAACAGTTATTTATCCGAAATACCTATGTAGGTAGGTAGGCAGGTAGGTCCTCGGAGACGGCCGCGATCAAATTGTTACTACCATTACCTGCCGATGATATGATACTAGTAGTTCACATATGTCAGTCTCGAGTCAATCTTTCAAAAGTATTTCTCTCCCAGCAACAAGAAGATGAGGTCTTGCGGGCACAAATATATATATCTCTACTGCCCAGAAATCTCAAGACTTTTGTCTAAAAGCCTTAGCTACCAAGACTCTGCAAAAACATCCAAAAGGCAGCAAAATACTACTACATGTATGTATGAATGAGGATAGGGCAAAGCCACAGCAACAGCAGCATGGGCCGCCAGATCAGATTGGATGGAGTAGAATAGAGTGGGAGGTAAGCCACGCCAAGCAATGTCGCCAGAATTAAGTGCGGAGCACCCCCGGGACCTCGTGGGCGATCCCATGTTTCTCATTGGTCTCCCGTTCAACCTCCCCCGTTACTAACTAGATCTTGATCCATGGAGGCATGTATCTTACCCCCATCCGTGTATGTAGTCTAGCTTCAAAAAAAAGACAAAAAACAAAAAGAAAAGCCTTCGCGGGCCAAAAACAAACGGTGGGCCGCCAGGTTGAGGGACGGTCACTTCTTTGCTTCGATTGGTCTTTAGAGCTTTTGAGGGTGGATTCAATCATGGACTCCGTCGTCAGCTTCAAACTGGAGGTGTAAGGAGTTGTAGGGAAAGTGTAGGCACTTACTGCTGTAGATCCCCATGGATAATATCCCTACCTGACACCAACCACACTCCGTAGAAAATATAATAATAAAAAAATAGAGAAATAAAAAATAGGTTACTCGACATGTAGCTAGAATAGTTAGAAGTTCGGAGGTCCAGTGGGGGAATGGTGGGTGGGTGGTGGGGGGGGGGGGGGAGGTTGGGTTGGGTTACGTTGGGTTACGACGGTACGGGCAAACGCCCAAACAGGCAGGGCAGCACTGCATCCCTCGGGGTAGGTGTTAGGTAGGTTAACTGGGAAGTTGGATAGAGGGAGAGTCTCTCTCTCTCACTCTCTCTCATAAAATACGGTACATGCAGCGCGGGCAGCGATGGATAAATAGACTGCACCCTCCTCCTGCCCACCTTCACCACACCCCCCGCTCACACCCCATAGCACTCAAGACTTTTCCAAGAGCTGAGGTTTACTTGGCCCTTTCTTTTTTCGCTACTTGTTGTTGTGGTCTTTTTGGCCAGAGGGACAGAGAACGTGCGTGGTTGATAGGCTCTCGCGCGAGAATATAGATTGAACTAGCCGTGAGTGTTCTTGTGCTTTGCTTGGCTTCTTCTGCGGCGTCGATGCCAATGCCAATGCTTCACCATCTATCTACTCTACGGGTTCGATTTGGGGGCTAATATGTGATTGTGCCTGCAGAAACCCAAGATACCAAGATACCAAGATATACCAAGAAACGGCAAGAAAGAGAGGTTTGTGGAAGCCCTCATCATATCCTACTATCCTGCCTGCCTGCCTGCCTGCCCCTACAAGCACACAATTCTGCATCTCCCGCGTCGGTACCAAAGGCGTGGGTGGGATTCGTGGTGGAAAATGACGGTGGACAAGCCTTTTGGCGGGAGTGCGCGCCGTGGATGAGAGGAGAGTAGAGTAGCAGTGTATGGCGTGGTGTGGCATGGCATGGCATGGCATGGCATGGCATGGCATGGCATGGCATGGCGGATATTGGCACATTGGCATTTTTACTGTTTACACGAGACGAGACGAGCGAGTGAGAAAATGAGATCTAGAGTGGACAGAGAGGCTAACAGGTTCGGTTTGCATGCAGCTTATAGCTAGCCTAAGGAAGAAATTGAGAATGGCTTCAGCTTCAGCACCTATACCGACCGCCCCCGTGCACAAGACCGTCGGCGGGAACGCGGCGTTCCATAATTTCCATAACGACTTTGCACATATCTCTGTGAGTTTTCCCGCTTCTACAGAATGGGGGATAGGAATGCATATGAGGATGGGAATGGGAATGCTGATGGACGGGGGTGTAAAATAGGATCCGAATGAGAGGAGGCGCTTGGCTCTCGCCGAGATCGATAAGGCCCCGTTTGGGTGGTACCATGTGCGCGCGGTAGTTGTGGCGGGCATTGGTTTCTTTACTGATGCTTACGATGTATGTTTTCTCTCCACACTGCTCTACCAAGAAATCACCCATGCTCACACACACGCCCTCCATAGATTTTCGCCATCAACCTCGTCACCGGCATGCTCGGTCTCGTCTACTGGAAAAGCGGCAAGATCCCCGAGTCGTCGGACACAGCCATCAAAGTGTCGACCTCCGGCGGGACGGTCATCGGGCAGCTTCTCTTTGGGTGGCTGGCCGACGTGGTGGGCAGGAAGAAGATGTACGGGCTCGAGCTGATGATCATTATCGCGACGACGCTGGCACAAGCTTTGTCGTCGGAGTCGCACTCGATGCATATTGTGGGATTGCTTGTCTTTTGGCGTGTCATTATGGGAATCGGTATCGGAGGAGATTACCCCCTGTCGTCGATTATCACCGCTGAGTAAGTCGATTACCGCTGCACTGATCATTACCACTTGCTTGTCTGTCTGTCTGCTAGCGCAGCGCAACAACAACCCAAGGAGTTATGTACATGTAGTTAGCTAACACAACCTCCCCCCCCGCGCAGATTCGCAACGACGAAATGGCGTGGCGCTATGATGGGCGCCGTCTTCGCCATGCAGGGCATCGGCCAGCTCGGCGCAGCCCTCATGGCCCTCATCGTGACCGTCGCCTTCAAGTCGCAGACCATCACGGCCAACCACCCCAGCGAGTGCGGCGACGCCTGCAAGACCGCCGTCGACCGCATGTGGCGCATCATCATCGGCTTCGGCGCCGTCCCCGGCTGCATCGCGCTCTACTACCGTCTGACCATCCCCGAGACCCCCCGCTACACCTTCGACGTCGCGCGTGACGTTGAGCAGGCCGACGCCGACGTCGGCGCATACCTTGGCGGCAAGCCCTCCGGCGACGTTGACGAGATCCGCCGTATCGAGACCATGCAGGCGCGCGCGCAGCTCGAGGTCCCCAAGGCATCATGGGCCGACTTCTGCCGCCACTACGGCCAGTGGCGGTTCGGCAAGATCCTCGTCGGCACTGCGG